AACCTCACCAACCCTCCTCATTTCTCATCCGGGCTTGGAACTAGCAAAGGCGGTGTTTTCAGTTGTATAAGTTTGAAAACGATTTTCAGCAACTCATAGTGCGATATGTTCGTGAGTTGGCGAAGCCAGCATAAAACGATTTTATCCAGAATGAGATAGGTTTTTATGCGATGATGCCGCTTCATATCAGTATGCATTTCGACCAGCATAATTGGAGAAGGAAGTGAGTGAAAGCAGGAGTTTCAAGTCCTTACAATGAAACCCGCCATAATTATGTGAGATAAGCGTAGATGAGGTAAAAATAAAAAACGATCGTACACTACAATATGTCAGATAACACAGAACCGATTAAAGTCCAGAGTTTGCGGCGTGCTGCGTTGCTTCTCTGATCTTCGAAGAGTTATGCATAATGCAATATGCTTCGACTAGGAAAATGATTTTATATTTGGGCAGTAGAATATAAGCAGTACCAGCTAAAGGTACTGAGACATCGTCAGTAATGAGTGTGAGAGTGCTCTAGAGAACAAAATGGTGCTAGATGCATCCTCTTCTCAACTACCATTGGGCTTTAATGTGCCCTCCCCCTCTTTGGCATGTAGGAGCAAACGAACATGCAATACGGCATCATATCCGACCTTGGAGAAGTCATGGCTGATCTCATGATGCTGATATTCATTTTTCAACTCAAACCTTCGAGAAACTTTCGAAAGATGAGAAGTCAACACAATTTTTTTTTCAAGTCCAGGTCGGGATTATCACCATTCGAAACAGTGACATTGAATAAGACATACTGACTGTTCCTTCTTACTCTCACAACAATTTAATATCAGTCATAAGTCCCTTTTTGCTGCAGTTAGATACTGAAGGCCTGAATTGAGGCTGCTCAGTAAAGCAACGTCATTCTTGTAGTACAAGTTGGCAAAGTGCTATGCCAAATGTCTTTATCTTTGTCTTCACTTCAGTATCACAGCAGAGTGATAGTCAAGATCATTGTTCAGAAAGTGATATGCCTAGTGAAGGCATTATCGATTTAAAGCTAATCAGAAATCTGTGACTCCATCGTCGCTTTGCCTAATCGTACCATCGCATTAATTCCCCCTGTTACTTCGACATTTTCACCATCATAATTCATTAATGAATAATAAATTAAACTTCCACAAAAATTTTTTCTTCAGCTTGTGAAAACGGCGTTTATATTTTGAAACAGCTCATCCATTTCCTAAAGTGAGAAATTTGCCGCCTTAACTCTGCGCCGTTGTATGCAGATCACATGCACCGTTGTGATTACTTCTTGAGAACGATTTGCTGAAAACCAGAATGTCTCTGATTGTTGTTCGCTTTATTCGCAACTCTTTAATATCTTTGGTATAAGGCACCGGATACTGGACACTAGAGGGATTCATTACTCTTAAATGTTGCCATCTTATTGAGTAGTGTTGACCGTTGACCTTCTGGTCGACAGCTGTCTTGGTTCGGTTCGTTTATGACATGTTCGAGGACTGAGGTAAATTATTTATGATGCATCAGCGGTCCTACGGCACCAGTCTCGCTTCCCTCATTTAGGAATCTACTGATTGCGCCCGTGCTAAAAAGATACTGAAGCAATTCCTGAAATGATCTTTCCTTTTAACCGCATTATGCATGGAAATCGGCCTTTGTGCATTCCCTTAGGCCGTTGTTTGTGGTTCTTCGTTAAAACAACTGCCTTTGTCATAGTTCAAAGCAACATTCACGTGATCGATTCAAGGATAGCTGGATTTCTGTGGAAAAGGATACTCATTTGTTAATGCGGATGCTGAACAGGAAGAAAAGCCCTTGCACCAAGGGTGGTGACTGAATTATGCAATTTGGGGATAGACCTTGATGAATTGGTCATTTAAATCTACCGTTTTGTTCCTCTATTGCATAAACTCATATAATGTACATGGCAGGTTTATCACAAGCTTTGATTTCAAGGAACTAAAGAAGTGGTTTTCGCAGCTAGATTGCACACAGAAGCATATAAATCCATCAGATGACGAGCCCATTTCCCGTTCCGTACACCAGGACAGCATCACCTGCACCATTTATGTCAGTAAAGCGTCTGGCCGAGAATTTTGAACTGCATCTAAATTGTACAATAAAATTTTTGTGTTTGTCAGGGGCAACTCTGTTTCATAAGAGATTATCGAGAAAAATGTTGAGTAGCGAAGCAAAGAGGCGAATCTCTGTGGCAAGCACTACCGTCAATAACGAACCGGTCAGATGGATGCCATTCAATCTTAATATCAGAGACAGTTCTGCATGGAGAAATCTTGCTGAAAAATTCTATAGCATTTTAATATGTTCTCCTTGCTGAACGATGTGTCAGAACAGATGCCGCTTTATCGATGATGAAGATGAAATGTTTAGCGCTGCTCAATGATCTTCTGAAGACTGATGACCTGGCCAAAACAGGATTACCTTGTCAGAAAGCCTGTGTCGTTTGAACGAAGTATATTAGCGGCTAATTTTTCAGCCTTTTCCAGAATATTTCAGAAAAGTTTTCGCCAAGGTTGATAGCAGCATGATATCACGGTAGTTGAAACACCGGATCTCCCATCTACCTTTGAAAAAGGTCCAATTATCCCTCGTTATTATTCAACTAGGAAACCTTTAAAGTCCGTTTAATAAAAGAAGGAATGTGGTTTTGTACCATTTGCGTTGTTCTATAATTTAACTCCGGGATATTCTGACTATTCCACAGGCTTACTTCATCCTGCGATGTAACGAGGCATTTTAAATTTCTGGCTTGGCGAAGGTTATCACAAAGTCTAGCATAAACATATGATTTACAGTCGAAAAAGGCAAATATGAAAAATAGCTCTTAACTAACTGTTGACAATGTTCACTAGGTCATTTAAGGCTTTCCTTCTGTACACTATTTGCATGGCGGGAAAGTTCGAATCGAAGTTCACGGGCAAACTTATGTACTCCTCTTAAATCTGTTCGCTTCACCCCTTCCTTCTGCTTATCGAATTCCATTATAACTATAGCTTTAGTAAACAGCACGTTTTGCATCACTCTAATCGTCATTGATGAGCCAACATCTGGGGATCGGTCGTTTAGAACAATAGTCTTATTAGGCCAAAAGCATGAATTTTGCTGTTTCATTAATTTTTCAAAACGTTTGAACTTGTACTCGATTAAATTCGAGAACAAATGCTAAAAAAACAAGTACAACACAGTAATCAGAAAACTTTTCTTTCTTCCTTTCAGTTGTTTGTACTTAAATGAAACTTATGTGTCTACTTTCGAACAGTAATGCAGGTAGTAAAATAAAACGCACCTGTCGCTTGCTCAAACAGACCCCCTAGACATCTATAAGTATGGTTCGGTGCAATGCGCTGTAAAATCCGGTTTTGATGAAGTTAATAGCTAGCTGACACGCTCAAGCATGCGTGAACATAAATTTTTGATAAAATACTTTTACATATTTCCCTGAAGGCTCCTTATCTGTCAATCATCAACTCATTAATTACATATTTGTACGTTCACATCAGCGTCTTTGCTCTGTTTCCATAAGATTACGAAAACTGGAGACGGAAAATTAATTTCTTACAACGAAGCCCACAGAATTGGTGAGACTTTAATGGCTGTGCTGACGTTGCGATAGTTAACGGTGTCTTCATTCTCAGGGTGCTGTGTTCATCAGTCAATCACAAAATACAGGTACCCAGTGATTAGCAGGCGTTGGTGTTAATTAATCAGTACCGGAAATGCGCTAGCATCGACTGGAGTCTTGATACACCTACCTTTGCGCAGTTCGACCTTCACCACGCTG